CTGATCTGTTGATGTTCAAACCATTTTAAATGCAATTGCATCACAAATCTTTCGATGGACACTTAACCTAAAAAATAAAAAAAGGTTAAATATCCACAAAAAAAAAAAAAATGTTCTTGGCATTTTCAGTAATAAAAGTTACAATCCTAAATGAATATACAAAACCAAGCCTTTAGCTTGAATACATAACAAAAGATAACTCATAAATATCTGTAAAAAGCTGATATGAGAAAAAAAACGCAACAAAAGAACATCGAAAAGACAAATGGTGGTGCTGCATGTGTGTGTGCATGCGCCTGTTGTGAATAGATGAAGGTGGAAAACGATGGGTGTAACAGCGTCAATTAGCATTGCTAGTGATGGTGGTGGCTAGTTGTGGTAAGTGGTATGGTTTTTAGGGTTTTCAGAATGAATGTGTGAGAGAGAGAGAGAGAGGGCATCTTCGTATCTGGAGACGGGAGGGTGGGTTATTTTTTAGTTAAATAGAGAGGGTTTAAATGAAAATCCAAGTTTAAAGATGTCTGATGCATTTTGTGTTTCTTTAAGCATAATGGTTTGTAACTATTGCTTAAAACATTGTACATGTTTATGATTGGTTTAAATCAATTTACATGGATCACTAACTTTTAATCTAAACCCTTGAAGCTTGATCTAAAGGTCTACAATCTATCCTTGTTTTTAAGATGTGGTCTTACAATTTTATGGAGCCCACAAACATATATGCATTATAAGGTGTGTGTGTGTGTGTATATATATACATATATATATATATATATATATATATATATATATATATATATATATATATATATATATATATATATATATAGTGGCTTGGGGAATACGAGAAAATTCTTGGGATGAGTATAAGTAACTGTGAATGATACTAGAGGCCTATACTACTTAAAGATCGAGACTCATACTTGGATCAGGAAGAGTCAAAAAGATACTAAGACACTAGTAGTGGAGTTTATTTTCTTTCAAATTCTATCATTACTTTCATTTCGGTGATGACTAGAAAGAAGGATTTTTGTTCCAACCCTAGTGGTCATAAAAAATCGAGTCTGAATAAGATAAATCTGCAAAGTAAGTTACTTGATTCATAGATCCATGTTTAGTGTGGTAATCGACTATCATCAAAAGAATAAAGGAGAAGATATCAAGCCGATCGATAGATAGACTGCAGCCTTTGTTAAGGTTGAGCAATCAGTAACTAGAAATGTTATGTGGTATGATGTGGTTGTACCACATTAGAACATGAAGGAAAGTGTCTTTAGTATTAGGTGTTTGACTCATAGAGGCATGAGTCTAGCCATTGCATCATGTAATGGAAGGCCTTTAGAACATGAACATTCATTCTATTACGATGTCTGAAGTAATGACTTTATCTTGGGCTGAGTCTATGAACCACACTTAAGAAATGCTCAAATACCATTTAGAAGTTTCTTCCTTTTCATTTTCTATCAATGCAACACCAAAAAGTATAGATTGACCATGACGATTTACACCAATAAATTGAGCAAATGGCATATCAAATTTGTTTGCCACGTATGTAACAGCGAACATAACGACGTCCCCGAATTTAGTATATGCCTCTCTTGATCATCCATTAGACGAAAAAATATATTCTTTGGAGACCCATAATCAAACAAATATGTAACAAATTACTAGTTATTGTCTACTAATGGTTTATCTTAGAAATGTTTGATCTACTGTTTTCATTGCTCGGATAAAACTTGGGAACATTGCTTTGAGGTAACGTTGGCATCATATGGAGTTTTCAGTGCATTTATAACCTTTTTTAATAGACAAGGCCTTAACCTTGATTAACCTAGTTCCACCATAAGAAACTTTCACGCCAATGGGTAGTAGATCTTCCATGGAGAATGATGTTTTATTGATTTTGTAGGAGTTGTAATCAAATTGTGATTATGTGTATCATTCAACACATCCACAAACCATTCACCATCTTTTCCTTTTAATATATAGAGCATTGCTTTACATCCTATCTGATGATTTGTATAACTCTTGATCGTTTAGATCTTTAAACAGGTTAATCACGAAAATGTAAACAGAAATATCAAACACAAGAGTGAATCAAAATATGTAGAATGATTCAATAGATTCAAGCCTTAGCAGAGCTCGACAAAGAACTTCTGCTATAGAGGCTACTAGGGTTACAAACGATAAAAAGTAATTGTTAAGAATGATCGACTCCAAAATCTTACGTACTAAGATGCATGCAAGCATCTATAAATACTAAACCCTAGAAAATAACTCACGGATGGACAGGCCAATCCGGAAACAAAATTGGACTAATGAACGAGCCCAAGATGCAACACATAACGAACCCTACAACCTCCCCCTTTGCGTCAATTAGAGCGAGATACTACTTCGGCTTACTGGGTCCAGCTGCAGGAACTTTCTTGGTGGTTTCGAACAGACGTTGAATAAGGGCAAGGATGGTCTGTCTGAAGCGAATGTACCACTGGATCATATCATCGAAGTATTTCTTGTCATTATCAGAGTTCTGCTTGCATCGATTGATGATCCCCAGAACATGTTCCAAGCATGCAGTGGTGTATAGATGCTTGTCTGCCAAGGCGAACAGGCATTTTTGGCCTTCGTTCCTTGTGAAAATGACTAAGTTCCGTTTTGGGTCGATTATCCCTGTCTGTATTTTATTGAGATCGCTTGCAGAGCCAACTGGAGAGATGGTGGGCTTTTTCTTGAAAATACTTGCAATCTCCTGATCCATCTTGGCGACCTCCATAATGTAGCACACTAACATCCTTTTGAAGTGATTTATGATTGGCCCATATTCAGCTTCGTTGGTGAGGAGGATGTTGTGTAAGATGATCCAATCATGTGGATTAAGGTTGGGAAGATCAGCAAGTGAAATAGCATGTTCTGTTTTAGCAGACCCCCTCAGCACTTTGAACCGAACGTTTGTGTAGTTCCCCTCCCTAAAAGGTTTGAGGACCCAAACGTTTATGATCTTCTGAGCACTCCATGTCTGATACTAAGGCTGAGCAGACCTCAGATAGAATTCAATGAGCTCCCTATCAACCTTTGGGTAAAGATGAGGGACATCAGCAACATGGGAGAAAACATGAAATATGAAGGCCTTTCGGGTTAAAGGCATATCAAACTGAGAGTCGACAAAGTTGCATCTGTCTAAGGAAATCACCGGTTCGAGCCATAGGATGTTGGGAGTATCAATCGCCTCTTTGATGAGCTTCTTGAGAGTCCACAGAGGAAATAGAGTTTTTCGACTCTCAAGAAGATCATGAGCCTCCTTCATTTTTCTTTCGTTTGCCTCAGTCTCTATGGCAACACGAGCACTCATATGCGAGTCCTTTTCCCGACCTTTTTTCTTCAAGAGATCAACGATGGTCTCTTTATCATCATCACCATCACTGTCTTCAACAATCTTCTTCCCTTTATCTTTAGCACCCAAACCTGAAGGTTGACCTGTTGGAGGAGGTTCGGTTGCTTTAGCCGATGTAGAAGTAGGAGGCGGTTGAGACACATCTTTTCCCCCTTGTTTTGGATGGGCCACGAACTCAGGAAGCCCTTCAATTTTGCTAAGTAGGGCAAGGGTGGGAGCAAGCTTTTTTAGCTAGAGTGAACCTCACAAAATAGTTCAGGATGGGATCATGCGCTTCAAGAATGTTGGAGAGGGCAGCGTGGACATCCGAAACACACGAGGAAACGACCGCACGCTCAGATCGGAGAGATGCAACTTCCTTTTCTGATTGGAAAAGTTGAAGACTCTTGACCTTTAGAGCAGTGGTCTTGCGAGCGAGCGCATCCATCATAGAGTTCTCTGAAGCGAGATCTTCTTGCAGCTTTGTCAAGCGCTCCTCGACAGTCACCTGGAAGGTTTTATTATCAGCTTCAAGAGACTGACGAAGACTGGCAAAGAATTGCTATTCGGATGCAAATGAAGTAGCCAGCTTCTTGATATGTGTATTTTTATCTATATTTATGTATAACATATCTTAATATTTTAGCATTTATTATTATTATTTAGAACTAAAATAAACTTAATATGCTTTGAAATATTTAATTACTGTTAAAATGGGAGACGGAATGCAAAAGAAAGAGAATGGAGCTGAAAAGATGCAAAAATGATATTGCTGGCAGATTGACCCCTCTTCAGTGTTCCGGGTATATCTGATGACGCATAAGTCCAATTGACGAGGTTCAAACTGTTCTGAAAACTAGACAAAATTTCCTACGACTTATGTGAGAGGGACTTTTGGCTAATTCGACACTTATCTTATCCAAAATCGGCCTTGAAGATGAAGCATACACTACAAGAAAAATAGCCTTTTACGACGCGCAAACCACGACACTCATTGATTTATGTTACGCAATGGAGAGTGACGTTAAAAAAGTGTCATCTCTTCAAAAAATTTAAGGATTTAGGTCACGCATTATTGCATGCCCTTAAATTAGCGTCATACGAGAAAAAATTAAAAACACGGAGGGCGCTGTATCTTAAATGGGCGTCCTCTATGAGTGTCGCTTTATAATTTTAATGAAAAGCGCGTTTAGTAGATAGGGGGAAAATGAAATCCCTAAAATTTTGAACACCCACCTTCATTTTTATCCTCCTCTTTTGTTTCCTTCTTACCCTAATTACGATCCTTTCTTCCCCCTCCATAGATTCGACTGCTGCCTTGCCTAGTTATCAACACTCCTTCCTTCGTTCCTCACTTGCCTTCTTCGCCTGACAATATCTCAAGAAGTACAACTCCGAAAGCATACAAGTCGGACTTATGTGTCGGAACTCCGGTAGACTGAAATTCAGGCAACATGTAGCCTCGTGTGCCCTAAAATTTCACGAATCTTGAATTTGGCTTACTTGAATCTCGTTCCAAGCTGCTATCGGTTTCGCCACAGAGTTCCGCCATTCCAAAAGCGCATATTTTCGAGTTGAGTGACTATGATTGGGTTATAATTATGCTTGAGCCGACAATTGGGTTACAATTATGCTTGAAAGTGTGAAGAACTTACATGCTCCATCTAATCATGTCATACTTCATGTTTGTATCACAAATATTGAAGGTATATCCATTTCTTCTGACATATGGGTTTCAAAATTTGGGGTTTTTATGGGATTTGAAGTTATGGAGATGCAAGGTGCCCTCAAGGTGCTCGATGAAATGCTAGACTGTGTAAGTATATTTTTTTTCATATTTGATTAGAAAAAGCGATAACAAAAATACTTCCTGATCAACTCATCTTATGGGTTGTGCTTCTTTGTTTAAAACACGATTACAAATTGGGGAATCCTCCTCCTATCGCATGCTCTTCTAATTTCTTTGTTTAATGATTTTTTCTAATTTCATATTGATTTCATCTCTTGTTTCTCTATTCACAGATCTTCCAATCATCAAGGATGTATTGGAGATTGCTAATGTATTAAACAACAAATGGAAGGTAAATAATACCTCAAAAAACATATTTGATACCTGATCTTCATTCCATACTCACCATATGTATTTGAATGTTATTATTTTTTTAATCTCCCGTTACTATTTATTTGAAATTTATTGCTTCTGTTATTCGTTTTGTAATAGAGGCAAGTGGAATTAATGTACATAATCACCTATGACATTCTTTTCGGACATGTATCTTCACTTTCTAGGATGCCACATCATATAATATTTTCTTTAAATTAATCATATACATAATTTTAACATTTCTTCATAGGATTAATCTCTAACAGGAGATCCAGAAAAGTACTTTATTTTGAGGAAAAGTCAACTATAGTCAGCTCTTGCAAAGATCTTATTAAAGAAGGGAGCAAAACGTATAGAAGATTTAATGTCCTAATATAAGATTCCCGGTTTGTTCTACCAATAACATTCCACTTTATTATTTATAATTTACACAACCATATTTATTAAACGAGATCTATGATTTATCATTTATGCAGCAGATGTTAAAAAACCTCGCTATGTTCGTGTCAATACTCTGAAATTGGATGTTGAAACTGCTGTGTCTGAATTAAGCAAAGATAATATGGTAACATTAATATACATTATGGTACCCTATTTAATTTATCTTTTTTATTTTTCTGATTTTAGTTATAATAATCTTTATAGGTCGAGAAGGATGACATGATTCCCGATTTATTAGTGCTTCCACTAACTACTGATTTGCACAATCATCCTTTGGTCACAAACGGAAGTGTATTTATGCAAGTAAGATTTAGTAATTTTTTTGATTTTGGTTTATTTTATTTCATCCATAATTACTTTAATATAATTTTTTTTAGGGTAAGGCAAGTTCCATGGTGGCAGTTGTCCTTGGGCCTAAACTAGGGTGGGAAACATTGTAACTAGAGTTCATGCATGGGTATGCAGGAATGATGATGGGCATGCGATGGGTGGATTCAATCACCGAACCATTTATGTGGGTCCCACATGTTAAATCCAAGATCATCATGTTCAATTGGGCATAGCATGACAGGGTTTGGCAAACACCAGTTGGTATAGACTTTGAAAAAACAGGAAACTAGCATACTAGGTATTGCATTGGGATAAAGCTGGCATACCTGAGCAACTAAAAGAGCCTCCGAAGGGGAAGTTGTTGACAATTTGTTTTCTGCTTATATGAATCTTGAAAATCTTGACACATTAAACTCTTTTGGAACTGACGATACACAAGGAACTGAGAATCGTGAAGATTTAGATAGTCGAGCTAGTGGAACAAAAACAAATGGAGGTGATAGCAGTGATAATGAAGCTACAAGTAGTGTTAATGATAAAGGGATTAAACGGAGTGCAGGTGGAGACATTGCTCCAACAACAAGGCATTATAGAAGTGTGTCAATGGATAGTTTTATGGGGAGGATGAACTCTGCTGATGAATCACCTAAGCTTCCTCCTTCTCCTGGAGGGCATATTGGTCAATTATCCCCAAATAATTCAATCGACTCAAATTCAAATACAAATACGTTTAGTTTGGAGTTTGGAAATGGTGAGTTTACAGGGGCTGAGCTCAAGAAAATCATGGCTAATGAGAAACTTGCAGAGATTGCTTTATCTGATCCCAAACGAGCCAAAAGGTATGTAGCTTTTTTCAAATTCATTAATATTTACATTATAATTTCAGAAATCTGAATATTTATTTTGATATTTGAATAAACAAATATATTTTTTATGTGATATGTTTTAGGATTTTGGCAAATCGACAATCTGCTGCAAGATCAAAAGAGAGGAAAATGCATTACATTACAGAATTGGAGCACAAGGTTCAAACTTTACAGACTGAAGCAACCTAATCAACAAACAAAAATCTCACTACCATCCTTAAGTATTATATCATTATACAATACATGACTAAAAATTACACTTTTCGTCCCTGTGTTGTATTGATTTTCACTATTCCATAACATGCCTTTTATAGAAGGCCATTTAGTCCCATCACATACCTTGTACCCATTTGCTTCCACTTTAATCATCATCATTACAAAGATATTTTTCAGAAATCATCACCAATTGTCAAATATATGGTTTTCAAGAGTCATCCAGAGAAATGAAACAGTGAATTATGAACTTAAAGCCTTTTACAATGGTGTCTGTCTCGTAGACTAAAAGTGTTATAAAAAATGAATTATGGAAGAAAAAGGCAAAAAGGGCAAAAATATTCTTTTTTGGATCATAAAAAGGATCACTTTTTCGTCCCTAATTCGATGTTTCGTAAAAAATTTAGTCACTGGGACATATTCCATTTATAAAAGGGTGTTAAGCCCGATAATATACCTTGCAGAAGAGGGCATGTAGGTCATTTCATTTATCTCTGCAATGGGAAAATATAATTACAAATTACTTAAAACAAATTTGTCATGTAGTTTGGTTATGCAAAAGTAGATCGACGAGGTCTTAAAACAAATTTGTCACATGTTCATACTTGAAATATATATCTAATAAAATTCAATTTTTCACTACAGGTGGGGAGTAAATGAGGGGTAGTACCAACACAGTGGCCGAACTATTCATGTCTCTTATTAGTATGTAAATTTGATGTTATTTATGTATAAAAAAGGTTATTGAATTTATATTGGAGTTTTATTTGCGTGTAGCTGTAGCAAAAAATATCTTGAAAACAAACGAACGATTAACAGTTCATGTAAGTAGAACAAAGTTTACAATTGGGTAGTGCAGCTTTCAGTGTATGTGTTGGCGACTCTGTTGCTGCTGAGGTTAGAAGATCACTCATCCGTAACATGTGGAATGAACGTATTAAAGGCACAAAAAGAAATGTTGAGGTTTGGCAAGCTCTTTTGGTAGTTAGGTCACTTGTATTTCCTCCTACAGACGAGGATAGTGAAACCTGGTTGAAATTTGCTTCACTTTGCCGAAAAAGCGGTAGGATTAGTCAAGCCAAATCCACTTTAATTAAACTCTTACAGGTTAGTTGGTATTTAATTTTATTTATTTATTTAATCTAAATTAGCTTAGGAAGGTTTAATCATTTTCACTTAAGCTAATTGTATTAATTATAATTTATAAGTAATAATCAGCCTATTCTTTTTACTTCTTTTATAGGATCTAGCAATAGAGCTTTCAAGTTCTTCTGGTCTTCAAGTATCTACACCAACTGGCTTTGGAGGTGTTCCACATGTATCTCTTATGGCACGTGTATATCTGAAACTCGCTGGAGAATGAGGCTTGAGGTTCCACGTGCTGAAATTGCTGAGATACTTCCACTTGCTAGGCTTGACTTTCTTCCTAATATATTTTTTAGTTTGAACCTATGGTGGCAAGATGGTGCAATTGATTGGATTCCACTTTATTAACTTACCATTTTTTTATGTTATTGATTGTCATTGCTCATAAAATTGATCCATCAAACTTCTTCCTTAATGGTGTATAGTTAAAAAAAACACAAACATTGACCCCTTAAAACATCATGTTTATGCTTCGTGTGCTCCCAAAATAGTTGTTGATTAATTATTTACTAATCAAATTAGACACCTTTAAGAATTTAAGAAAGTGAAACTTGTTTACTTATTTCAAGTTATTCTTAAAATCCTCTTTTCAGGGCATGAGTCCATCAGTTGTAGCTGAAGGTCAAGAAAAAATGAAGAAAATATTCAAGGAGTAAGTAGTTGTTCATGTTCCTTATTGTGTGATCTGTATAAGTTGTTCATGACATGATATTAGTTGTTACTTACATGGTTAGACAATGCTTATAATAATAAATTTAACATTTTTGCAGGCATGGTGTTAGTTTTTTTTGCAAGCAAATGCAATATGTCCTTCGGATCCACTTGTCATGAACAAATTCATTGGGCACACAAAAGATGTCATGGGTTTGATCAACTGGTACTGGCTCTTTAGTCTTTCTTTTTATATCTTTTTATGAAATCAGCTTATGATATGAGCTCTGTTTTTCACATGGTCTAGGACCACTAATTGCTTAGGATGGTAACTGGGTTGTCTTTTCACGCCCTCCTCTGATACACCATAAAGGCATGAAGATTCTCTCTCTCTCTCTCTCTACAAATTCTAAAACAAACAACAACAGGTAAATAGATGCCAACATTTTGCTTAAAATTCTGTGAACATTGAAAAAAAACGAGGTTGATAGTGCCTTTTTCATGAGATTGTCAAAAGTTGAATAAAAAAAAAAAACAAGGGTAATATTGTAATAGGGAGGGTCTTAATACATAAAGTGACCAACCTCTCACTTAGCACGGCAAGTCATTTTGATTTTATTAAGTAAAAAAGAAAAAACCTTATCAATCTACATGCATTTAGTCATGTACTGATGTCCCACAATTTGTCGTCATAGAAGAAGACCCTGCTGTCCCACAAGGGTAATATTGTAATAGGGCTGCTTTATATGTCATCATAGAAGACCCTGCTGTCCCATAATTTGTAACAATTTGTATTATCATTATTTGATTTTAATAATAATTTGTTTTGTTTTATTGTTGAGGTTATAGACTGATAGTCTTACTTTTCATGTCATTATTATTTATTTCTTTTTTTGTTTGCAGTTTCTTGCAGAAACTTTGGATGTTGTTCAAGACATTGATTGGGTCATTTCTCTTGGAAATGCTTTTGCAAAGCAGTATGAGCTTTATACATATGATGATGAGCATTCTGCACTACTTCACAGGTATGAACTCATTATCATTATCATTACATTTTTTAAATTAAATTATCTTATTGAGAGTATTCTTCTCCTACAAATGTCTTGGTATACTTCTTCAGAAAGTTAATAACATGACTTATGTTCATGATAAAATCATCTGGATGTACAAACAAGAAAATAATCTAGATTTCAAGTATTCCAGCACCTTGATAATTATTACATTGCTATGTTTCACATTTAACCCTGTTTTCTAATATTGTTTTGGTTGAACATGTTATTCCTCAAATTTTAACAGATTCTTGAATTGTGACTCACCCCTACAGCTTTCTGAATGCAGGCTTATTTTGGTGATGGATTAAGTAGAGTTCTGGCTTGGTGTGTGCGAGTGGGAAGGAACCAACCCAATGCCCCCAGAGTTCTGGCACCTTCCATCTTTACTTCCTATGTATCCAGGTTAATCTACTCGTATTTATTCATGTCTCAAAGTCTGTTTTCCAATATCAGGTATCATGATTTGTGTATTTATAAAATTTTGAAATAGGGTCTTGTTCAATGCTTTAGCTGTGTTTGCTCTAAGGGAGATCAACTTATCAAAAGTATGTTACTGTTTCACCCTTTTATTTAATATTTTTGTGATTGAATGAAAGTCTTAATGAAAGTAATTGACAACCCTTTCTCTATAAATGATGTTGTGATTGTGGGAGAGGTGTTGTGTTTTTCTCTGTTGTTAGGTAACCTTCTCAACAACAACATTCTACTTAAGAAGGTGAGTAATCAAGATTAAGGGAGACTTGTAATCATGTTTCTGTTGGAATAGTGTCTAAGGCTGCAACTATATTATGCAAGTATTTGATCCGGTTGTGCATGGTCCTTTTGGGTTGCCTTCACCATAGCAACTTGATGGATGATTTGTTAAAAGAGAGTAAATATTATAAGGAATAATATATGGTTATTTGATTAATATAAGTCATAGATTAATTGGAATTAATTTGGTGACTTAAAGAGATTAATTAAATAAGAGGGTATAAACTGTCAATTGTTTGATAGTTACACTTTAGACTATAAATCCTTATCCTAGATAGGATGGATGATTTCTAGGGCTTGGATAAGCCAAAATCGTCCATAGGGTTATCTATGGAATGGATTTGGATAGCCTTAAGAGAAGATTATCCAATTAGGGTTTAGGTTGTAACCCTTAAGGAGTCTACAAGTATAAATAGACCCTAGGGGTGAGGGAATTCGACACACCATCTAAAGTAGAGATACTCTGGCCGAATTCCTCCCTCTCCTCTCTCCTAAATCATCTTGCTTGCTATTGGTGTTTGTAAGCCATTAGAGGAGTGACATTTGTGACTCTAGAAGCTCCAAGACAACAAGATCAACAAGGAACTCAAAGGTATGATTCTAGATCTGTTTCAATGTTGTTATTTAACCTAATTAGCCATTAGAAGTCTTGGATTCAAAGCATGTTTAATTAGAAAGCCTAGATCCAAGCATTAGGGTTTTGCATGCGCACATAGGAAAGTTCTTATGGCTAAAACCCATCAGTGGTATCAGAGCCTAGCTTGGTTTTCTTTAAATTGTTGCTTGATTAACTGAAACAAACCTGCAAAATTCGATTTTGGGTTTATGAGTCATGTACTCGGCGAGTTCCAAAGTGGACTCGGCGAGTAGGCCTGTACTCGGCGAGTCCGAGCGTCTGGATTAGGCAAAACCGGGATTTTTTCATGTTTATCTTATGGAAACTTACCTTAATCATATTAGATCAACCCTAATCCGATTTTTTGATATATATGACTATTATCTTGATCTAATTAAAGATATTTATCATCTAATAAAATATTTAATTTCCTTATGTGATAAATGATTAATTATTTTGATAATTATCTTAAAAGAAATCTTGGATAAATCAAATAAAGATAATTAGGATATTAATTGTTAATTGGAATTATTTGTTATTTGATCCTTCATGTTTTAAATGTTTAAAACCTACCCTAAAGTTTTGAAATTTATATTTGTGATTAAAAGTTTTAATTTAGACAACTTAAATTTCAAACCCTAGATTTTAAAAGGTTTTAAAATACAACCCTATACTAATATGATATTACTAGAATAATATATATATGTATAACTAAATGCTAGTCTTACCGTTAGTAGGCCTCATTCACGAAGCCGATCTATAAGGTGGGTATAAGGTTGCGGCCTATAAAATGGCGCTTAATGGGTGTACACTCACACCCACCGCTTGCTTGATTGGTGGAGGGTCGTTAGCCGAACGGGTAGGATAGGGCAACCTCATCTTCTCATTAAAAGTATAATAAGAAATACAAAGTAACTACACGTTTTAAAAATTTCCCAATCTTAGTTACTTTAGGAAAAGTGAATTGATGCAATCCCATGAAATTACACTTTGCACCTTGCTAAGAAGTTAGTGGAGCGTGTGTGGTTTACCGGCACACTAATTGGTTCTAAGCGAAGGTGGCAAAGGGTGATTCATTGTTTATCATAGTTCGATGGAGCGTGTGTGGTTTACCGGCACATCGAATAGGTGATCGTTACAATGAAGGCACCATGTGAATTTGCATGGTAATTCACACCCGCTTTGTGATCCTCGGCATCCCAGTCACAAACGAGAGGGGCATATCGAGATTTAAACATGCCATTGAATAGTTCAATGAATCTCATCCGAACCTAGGAATTCTCAAAAACACTTAGGACTAATAGTTTAAGTTTTGTAATGGAGAATTAGTGAATCGTCATTCACTTACCTTCAATTTATTTGCATGTTAGATTACGGCATCCCTTTTCTAGTATGTAAATGTTATTGTTGGATCCTAGCCCTAATTTTTCTTATTGGGTGATAATTAGGGATTCTTATTCTAATCTATCTTTGTCCTTTTCTAATTGAAGATGTCGAACGCAAACAACGCTGCTGCTAGTTCTTTCACGTTGATGAGCCTTTGCCAAAAGGTCACCTTCGATGGAACGAACTTTAGCGAATGGATAAGATACATTCGCACCATTGCTCGCTATGAGGATAAAGAGTATGTCCTCGATGAGAAGCTCGAGAAAATCAACCCCGAAGTTGCTACTCCCGAAGAAATCACCGCCTTTGAAACTCATGAGCGAGATGCAACGAAGGTACATTGCATCATGATCGCCACCATGAACTCCGAATTCCAAAAGTCCTACGAGGACATGTATCCATACGAGATGCATCAAGACTTGTTGGAGAGATACCACCAAAACGCGAGACAAGAGCGTTACGAGATTTTCACTAACATGATCTCCGCTAAGATGGGTCATGGAGAATCTCTTACCGTGCACCTGCAAAAGATGCAAAGGTATGTCGACCGCCTTCGCAAGTTAAATGTTGACTTCGGTGAAGACTTGGCGATCGACATGGTGCTTCACTCTTTGCCTCCGATGTACAACCAATTTAGGATGACCTACCACATGAACAAAGAAGAGGTCACCCTAAGCAAACTCCAAGGTCTCTTGAGGGTCGCTGAGAGCAACTTCAAGGACAAGTCTGTTGCACCTACTCCCAATCCGTCCGCTGCTCCTGTCTTGGCTATTGGTCAAGGGAAGGGAAAGAAGAGGAAAGCTTCATCGAATAACTATCGCAAGGTGAAAGCCCGAGATGGTGCCTCTTCTAGTGGGACCAAAGTTGATCCCGCTAAGCCCTGCTCCAACCCAAAGGAGGCAGAGTGCCACCACTGCCACAAGATAGGACATTGGAAGAGAAGCTGCCCGGATTACCTGCAAGCGATCAAGAAGGAAAGATCAAGCCATCTTTCGCAGGTATATACACAATCAAATCTAACGATTCTAATCATGCTATTTCTTGGGTTCTTGATACCGGTTGTGGTTATCACATTTGTTCTAATGTGCAGGGACTAAGAAGAAGTAGGGATGTAGAGCAAGGAAGGATCAATCTAATCATGGGGAACAGAAGATCGTCGCCTGTGACCAAGATTGGAGTGTATTCTTTAGTGCTTAGGAATAGTTTGGTTTTAGATTTGAACAATTGTTGCTATTCGCCAGAAATGGCTAGAAACATCATTTCATTTCATGGTTTATATAGACAAGGATTTAGATTTTCTTTTAATAATGAGAATGGTTCTATTTTGGCTTATCTAAATGGTGTCTTTTACTTTGAAGCTATACCATGTAATGGAATATATGAAACTGTTATGATTGTTGATAACTTAGGAAATGATGTTTTGAATATTGATTCTTCCACTAGTATGGATAAAGCATCCTTGTGGCATTGTCGTCTTGGACATGTCAACAAGAAACGCATAGCCCAACTCCAAAAGGATGGAGTGTTGGAGTCATTCGACCTTAGGGAAGATGACACATGCGAGTCTTGTTTACTTGGAAAGATGACTAAGTCACCCTTCACGAGTACTTGTGAAAGGGGTGAGGGGCTATTGGACCTAATACATACCGATGTATGTGGACCCTTTAGATCAACCACGAAGGATGGGAACCGCTTCTATGTGACTTTTACCGATGACTATAGTAGATATGGGTATATCTACTTAATCAAGCAAAAGTCAGACACCTTTGAAAAGTTCAAAGAGTTCAAGAATGAAGTGGAGAATCAATTGGGCAGGAAAATCAAGATGCTTCGATCCGATCGAGGAGGAGAGTACCTAAGTCTTGAATTCCACGATTATCTCAAGGAGTGTGGAATAGTTTCGCAATTGACGCCTCCTAGGACACCGCAGTTGAATGGTGTGGCAGAAAGGCGTAATCGAACCTTATTGGATATGGTTCGCTCTATGATGAGTCGTGCTTCACTACCTATCTTCTTTTGGGGGTATGCCTTAGAGACTGCCGCCCATATCCTTAACCGAGTCCCTACTAAGAAGGTTGCCAAAACACCTCACGAGATGTGGACAGGGAAAGCTCCCTCGTTGGCACATATCAAGGTTTGGGGTTGCGAGGCTTTCGTAAGACGAGATACTCACGACAAGCTTGAACCTCGAAGTGAGCGATGTATTTTCATCGGCTACCCGCAAACATCCTTTGGATATCTCTTCTATAGACCGAAAGACAATGTTGTCTTTGTTGCGAGGAGAGGAGTTTTCCGAGAGCGAGAACTCATAAGCCAAGGAGACAGTGGGAGGCAAATCGAACTTGAAGAGATTCAAGAGTCGATAGATGAAGGAACCTCTACCGCTGGCATTCAACCCGAGGAGGAAACTCCGGTTGAACCGATTGACGAATCCTTACCTCTCAGACGTTCCGATAGAGTTAGAGTTCAACCCCAGTTTTATGGTTTTCATATTACTACCGAAGGGGACACGTATATTAGTGATGGTACACTAGTAAATCTTGATGAACCTAATAGCTATAAGGAAGCCATGGCAGGCCCGGAGTCTGCGAAATGGAAAGAGGCAATGGATAGCGAGATCCAATCCATGTACGATAACCAAGTTTGGAATTTGGTTGATTATGTGCCCGAACGTAAGACCGTTGGGTGCAAATGGATCTTCAAGAAGAAGACCGACGTGGATGGGAACGTACACACATATAAGCGCGATTGGTCGCGAAGGGCTTTACTCAAACTCCCGGAGTTGACTATGATGAGACCTTCTCACCAGTTGCGAAGATTAAATCTATTAGAGTGATGCTAGCAATTGCCGCATTTCATGATTATGAGATTTGGCAAATGGATGTCAAGACCGCTTTCCTTAACGGAAAGTTGGCTGAGGATGTTTACATGGCTCAGCCAGAGGGGTTTGTGGATCCGAAGCAT